GTGTATGCATTGGGGTTTGGTGGACGGGTACTGCTAGGGTGTCCAGCCACTAAGCAGGAGAACGATTAGAGTTCTTGTCCAAAGCCTTTAGCTCTAACAAGAACCAAACCGCAAGGCAGCGGGTGAGGCGGATTGGAGGCTCATTAGCTTGGATCAATTACTCCTCCACACTTGTTATCGACTGAAACGCCAAATTTCAGGCGAACCCCCAACCTGGAGGACCAGGAGACTAAACTTCGTCTGACCTCTACCCATTGACCTTCCGGGCATGATAAGATCTGGCTTTATAAAGCCATCCTGTGTAGCTCGTTGAGTCACAGAGGTGCACAAGCCATCACACCACGCCAAGGTGTAGTCTCGTCGTGATGGTTGGTTACCGTCTCATCCGCAGTTTTCTCTTCAGCTTCAGCAACCCAAAAGTCGAAACCAGTGATTGCAACACACTACGCAGCGGTTACAGTTTGACCGAACACAGAAACGGCGCTGATGAAGTTGAAGGGACATTACTTGCGCTTATTGTCAATGTTGCATACATATTGCAAGCAGGACCCCAAGAAAGCTGCGCCATAGTCTGGATATTCAAGGCTATCCTCTCCAGCCTGTCAGTCCACAATCTCTCAAAGTAGGCCACCATGTCGACTTGCCGGTAGACTGATCATTGCACAAGAAAATGAACTATTTTACCACTGCTGACAGATGAATAACCATTGATCGCTCCCATGTTGCGGTATCCCATTGCTGTTTTCAACATTAAAGTGCATCGCTTATTGGTTGTCGCGCTAATAAGCGTCTGCGAGGTATCGTTCGGCTCACTTTCAAGCAAATGGAGAAGTGGCTTTTGTGCTTTCGACCGTGATAGTCGTTAATTGATTACTGGTCAATGATTGGACCGTGTGCGTTGTATGGTTGCGAAAATATTTTCGGAGAAATTTGGAACTCTTGTGTTACTCTATGCCTGTGTTTCGGTGTCATTCTATGTGTTCACGCTCCGTCAGAAAGAGGGAAAAATTCATGTTTTTCTCTATCACTATTAAAAGGCAAAAATAGTGTTGCAAAAACTCGACTAGTAACCCATGCTTCATTTTCGACGTTTTCATACAAATAAACTGCGCGAATTGGTGAATAAACCATGCACATAACGAATTAATTGTTGATTAATAACTGATAAACGTATTGCGGAATCTCGAGCACACATACAGACACAAATACCAGTAGCAGTGGTAAAAACACTTCCGCCTATCAACAGCAATAGATACAGGTTGGGGAAAAACGAGGTAGAAATGCCTGATTCTCATCAGTTATTCATCCCTTTTTTCTCCTCTAATTTGAATACATTATCAATGCGCTTTTGAAAACAAAGACAAACGGCGCATGCAAGAAAAAGGGTAAAGATCCCTATTCCCTAGGCAATCATAAACATTGACTTATTGTTCTGGCCTGATCACTGCGTCAGCTCAGAAGTGGACAGAACCACAGGATAGATACTTACCGTGGAACCACGAGTTTTGCAGATCGCATCGATTTCATCAAATACAATGATGTGCAACGCAGAATTCGGTCCCAAACGTTTCTCTTCTTCCTCCGCCTCAGCAAATAGTTTTCTAATGTTGGCTTCCGATTCGCCCACATATTTGTCCAAAATGCTGGGACCGTTGACAATTTTCGGTTCGCGCGCATTCAACATTTTTCCGATCTGACGAGCCATCAAAGTTTTTCCCGTACCGGGTGGACCGTACAACAAGATACCACGAACGTGTTTTAATCCTGAATTGAAAATAATCGGGAGGACGATGTAAAGCACAAGTGCAGAGATGAGAAGCTATTTCTGGATGGTGGCGGACTGAAGATAGGAGGTAGGGCGAATACGCGGTACAAAGAAATGCAATAAGGCATGGCGACGCTAAACAGACAAAATGCATAAAATCCTTTTAGAGGAGTACTTTACGTTGCTGTCACAGGCACGCACTCCGTCGAAATTATGCAACCAAAAGCTACAAAGCCCTGGTGACTATTATTAAAGTATTCGCCAATTACACTGTACACAAATGAATCAGAACGATCAATTGAACTCGACACGTTAAATTTCTTCTCCGTGTCAATTCAGTATCAATCCTAATTTTTTACCAGATCACTTAGTAGAAGGGGCGAATATGATGGTCACGGAAACACTGCACGGTCAGGGTAATCGGCCGTTTAAGCCTTTGAACTTTGCAGCGAACTATGTAAGGATCAAAGTTGCACTCTGGTGAAAGAATTTGAACCCCTAACCTTAGGGCTCGGAGTATACCAGTAACAGCGACTTAAACAACTTGACTAAGACCAGCACTATACGATTTAAATTGAACGAATGGGACAGAAAGAATGCATCAATGTACGCCGTTTAATTTGTGCAGACATTCACAATAGGCTTTAGTGTGAAACGATGTAAAACAATGACAACCAAATGAAAATCATCAAGTTAGGAGACTTGAGGACGAACTGACGTACATAGAACAAACAGCAACACAACGTATACGCGTGTGAACAAGTTGATTTACCTAGTTGTTTACCGATAGCCGGAGGGAACATGCGCGATGCGAACGTGCGACGGAAAATAGCTGAAAATTCCTTATCCAGACCGCCTATTCCCATCTGACTGAAATCCCAATTCGGATTGATAATGCTCTGATAGCCTCCGCCACCATCTCCTGACGAGGCAGCAGCTTTGCCAATCAGTAGGAGTCGGGATTCTGGTTGGCGTTCCCATTCGATTACTGTGTTACCAGTAAGAATACCAAGCTGAGGGCATGATATAGTAAGAAGATGGATACCAATCAAAAATACCATTGGGCACAACCCACAATAACTAACAACAAACATCACCAAAAAACAAAGATAAAGTTGCTGTGGCAGACTGCGTTTGTGGTTAGTTTTGCTACTTGAGGAAGTTGAAAAATACTGTCAAAAAATGACAAATAAGAGAACCTACGCAATAATGTCTTATCGCGACAGACAGTCGCACCATGGACACGGAGAGCGCTGGTTAGAACAAGAGCTAATAAAAGCGCAAAACAGCACGCAGAAATGATGGATGATGTTGGTTTTCTCGACTGACAAATTTAAACTGTTGTTTGGCAGATAATTTTGACAAATAACTTTCTAGAAAGAATTCGTCCTGTATAGAGTAAATGAAGCGTTAACGGAAAAGCTAGGAAGCACGGAAAAGTTGTTTCGACCTGGTTGGGTCTCACATGCAAATAATTTGCTGAATAATATGCACCCGAGAAAAAGTTCTGTTCCCTTGCATCGTCCGATTTACCCTCTTTGCCGTAAGGGGATGGACAGACATCTTGTCCACATATAACCATTTTTCAGACAACAAAGAGTATCACGGTATCCCCGTTACCTTAACAATCATATTAAGAAACCACATACTATTAGGAGGACGATAACCGAAGTGCACTAAACCGAAATGGTAGATTAGAAGCGCACATATATTCATAAATTAGATATACATCACAATAAAAATACTGAATTTACCCTCCACCGTATTGCATTACATGGTTTCCGTGGAACAAATCTTGCAGTGTAAACCGAGTACCATGTGCAGCACCTCTGGTATGTTGAATGAACATCTCAAACTACAAGTTTTCTCGGTCTACCTCCTGTCGTCCCCGAAAACATTAACTGGGATCAAACTTAGGTTCTATCGACTTCAGTATCGATTTTTAGTCGAGCGATTTCGATCAATGGCGCATCGTCGTTCGAGTTCAGACAGTCATGTTACTTCTCCGCACAACCGTTTCATAAAAAACAATCTTCTGAGCTCTCGCTGTCCAGCCGTTCTCAGCCCCAACACAAACGCCTTAACTTCTCTTAGACACTACGAAACTCCCACATCGCATCTTTTGTCTTGCATGCACGGCTGGTTATTTTTCGTTTCGCCCATGTTGGGCTCTCTAAATCATCAGGCGCAAGCAGATGTGAGAGAAGAGACTTTTCCGCCCACTTTCCGTCTGTTTCACGACGAATTGATTCAGCTAACTAACATCTTACCCCTCCTCCGTCCGAAGCATGAAATCTGCGACTACCAGTCATTTGAAGACAATTGATAGACGGTCCAGTTCTCTCTCTCTCTCTAAACTCCATTTATCAAATACGAGTAAAAAATTCTCGTCGGTTATTAGTATTGACTGATTTTAAAACCCCTTACCACTTTATCCAAGCTCCTCTTCGAGATCATTTTAGATTCAAACGCGTCAGCGTAAGGTGGCTTCTGTGATGGCACTTAGGTTAATCACAAGTTGCTTTTGTTGTCTAGTGATTGTTTGCCTTTCACTGAGATTTTTTTTCATTTTCTTCGTTTGGTTGAAGAAATCATTATAACCGTCAAACACGCAGAAACCGGAGTGAACAAACACAGAGGTGGTAACAAATACCAGGATTCGCGAGATGGCAAAGGCCGGTTTTTGTGAGTTTGGTTGTGTAGATTAGTATGAGAAAACGACATAACCAATGAAAAGCACGTTACACGACAGCACCGATATAAAAATGAACAAATAATAAACAATAAGTGTTGAAGAATATCTATGCATGGGATAGCACCAGACAGGAATGTCACTACCGCTTACTTTAACGTTATAGGATCGGTAGCGCTATGGGAGGTAAATTGTCAGAAAAAATCATATCGTCCATGAAGGGAAATTCCCCGCAAGACGGATTGATGGTAGAAACTTTGCCAGAGAAAAAAGTCGAAGAGTAGTACGAGCAACTGAAGGTTCGATCAGCTCTGCTCATATAATAGACTACCGTGCACATTTGTGCTGTGTTACTGTTATTTCTCGGTTTCGAAAGACAGGCAATTAAAGCCAACAGTAATCAAGCCTCTTTAAACAACGGGGGGAAGCCCACTGGCAAATGTGCTGGAGCTTGAATGAACCTCAGAAAAAAATCGACAAATGCATCACTGCTCGATTTCAACGGTATTAAACAGCAACACTGGTCACGTAATCCGATATCAGAGTGATTGGAATGATGGTTCATCAGTTTGAAGTGGTTCGATCGATTATGAATCGACTGAAAGAAGCAGCATACAATCGATCACTGGAGACAACGAACGTCTCACATTGTTATTGAGGCTCAGTCGAAATACCCAGTCTAGTGGTTCATTATTTCAAGTCCCGATTGCCAGTTTCCGTGACCGAACAGCAAGTCCTCGTGACTTTGGGGTTTATCCCGTCTGCTGTTCATCGCACAAAAAGTTATTAATAAAGCAGTTTACCTGCTATACTACGCTAACTTTAAGAAGCACGTATAACCTATTTGTAACAAGGAGTAACAAAGGATCACGTGTAAACATAACCGTGTAGCTCAGGAGCAGGCGCTTTGACTCCAAAGCTGAAGGTTCACGGTACGAAAACTGCCTGGGGACATGAAAAATATACAGACTGGTGAATAATGACGAAAAAATGCAGTGTTCTTTGTCCGCGTTGAAACGAAAGTTCTATGCCTCAATAAACTGTTACTATGATGCGAAAGAGCAACGAAATCAGAATACATGTTCGCGACAGAATGAACAATAAGCAGAATTGCATACCTTCACATCCGAACGCGTTCCTCCATCCAGTGACATATCTGCACAATGAAACAAAGATGTCGATTGCTTACCTTTTGGCCAGAGATATATACAGTGCAGGTACTCAATTTTGTTTAATCTTACAGGTACTCATTCTTACTGTTCAGATCTCAGTTCCAAATTTTTATATGGTCTAGTTGAATGAAAGCTTTAATCAATGCCTCGCTTTTATCTATTAGGTAGTCCTGAAAGTCAATGATGAAATATTTACGATCACATCAACTGCATGCGTACAACTGCTTAAATTCGTATCAACTGTATTTCAGTGCGATTCATTCATTTCACAAATAACCTTGCGCTGTCGTGAGACGGTTCTGGTTAGTTTCTCCTTCTCGATTACCCATTCGGATGAACAATGATGACATAGTAAATGAACAAAGCTTATTTGACTCGCCATTCGGCGCAATACGTCCCTCGATTTATCCCCTTACATATTATTCAAAAGGTAGGAAAACACCATGGAATGAAACTATTTTTATGCAACTTTCGCCACATAATAAAAAGGCTGGTTAAACGTTCGTATGCATATGCGGATAGTGCCGAGTAAATAATCTTTTGGTTGAAAAAAGTTATTCCGTCCTTTAGAAAGATGATCTAACAAAAAGTGAAAAAGCACAAATGACAAACGCTTTCTGATCGCAAAAATCATCACGCAATGTAGCTCAAGAGCAGAATTAAGAGTGTCTTGCATGCACAAATGGAGGTTCTGTTAAACAAATAAGCGATCACAAATAATGTTGGATACCATATTGATACAAACTACAGAGTGGTTTCCATTTTCGGACAATATCGATCAAAAAGTTAGTGGGCGACCAAGCTGATCGACGAAGGTCAGTCACAGAACCACGGTTGGGATAGATCATCGAGTACGGATACGTGGGTGATTAACTTTAAATTTACATCCGGATGTTACTGTAAACAGGCCGGAATTTCAATGATCCGTAGTCGTAAAAGAACAATAAGCATATGCTTCTGGTGAAGTCTAAGTGATTGGTTGTTTTTCAGATTCAACTATGTGAAAGAGAATAACCTAACAAAGTGGGAAAACACTGAATTGTAATCGTATGTGATTTCCCAAATAGCCGTGGAGACCAAAAACATTATTCTGACTCCAACCTATAATAGGATGAAGGGCGGAAGCGACAAGAATTTAGTGAATAGTTCCGCAAACGCTCAAGTCCAGATGGAGAGAGAGTTAGTGTAGGATCATACAAATTTCCAACAGCCTGGTCCCGAACCGAGGGAGATTAAAACCTCTCAGCGTCGGGCCCCTGATCAGATGAGATTACCAGTTTGAACCCGGATTTTAGTGGTCCCAGAATTCATCAACTCAACCATTCGGGAACATAGCTCAATAGGGCTTATTGTGTTTCCTTTCAGAGCGCATTAATACTTTTATGGATTGATATACATGCTGGAAAATAATATAAAATAAGAAATGAAAAGTGTACACCTCTCACATAATGTTTATCACCCACAGAAATTGCAATACATTGATAAGATGTCATTTAGACAAAAAACATCTTCGAAAATCCCATTTTCTCCAATGGTGGGGAAAACAACTCCCGGATCGATGCTCATTTCTGAAAGATTTGAGTACCATGATTTGTTTGAGACCGACTAAGTCCAGAACGAAGTGAAATAGAGTAAAATAATAATCTTTGCACCAATGAATTAGGTTTATTCAATAACACTGGCTGCATCAATTCTCTTCCCATCATCAAGAAACTCTGTGGTGCTCGAAGAGGGGGTGCGATCCAAAATCAGCTACAAATCCATAAAATCAAGGGATTTTAGTACTTTGCTGAGCCACATGATCGAGATCAGGGGCCACAATGCTTACAGTTAGTTCAAAACAGTGAAACGGAAAAAACTGATGAAAAATCTTACTTGCCAACTTTTTCACTTCAACTAGTAGTAGTTTCTTGTTGAACCGAAAAAGAATTCGTTGCCCAATTGTCAACGGCGTATCAGCAAATTGCATGCTATATTCTCGAGCCATCTGATCAGCATCTAACGGTTCACCAGCGGGTCTGAACGGTAAGAAATAGAAATGACCTATCTTAAGTGTATTTAAAAGCGTTTCTTGGTTTATCCGCGGAGAGGTAATTTAGTAAAATACCAATAACACTGAACGTACATGTTATACTGTATAATAAAAAGGAAAAAAAGTTTCGCCCAAGATCGATTTCCAAGAGCATATTGCAATACTACATGACTGATGTCCAGGGCGCTTTTGTTGCACCTGAACATGATGCATACTGCAGCAAATGCAGCACTTACATAGAGCTTAAGAACGGCAGTAAACTAAATAAAAATACAATAAAACATACATAAAGGGGAGGGGTAAACGGTGGATCGTGTCACGAGGGTAAGGACCGGCTAACATAAAGTTATTTTTGTTGACCCAGGGGAGCTTCCATCGGTTGATAGCAATCGCTTCTGCAAACCTCAGCAATCTCGCGATTCGTGACTTGTAGACAATCCGAAACGCGATGCGGTGTTCGAACACTGACAGTTCATTTTCATCTTGTTTTCGTCATTTACAAATCTCTGCTCTGTATGACAGTACTGGCCGGACGGAT